GGTCGAGGGGGGAGGGATGGTCGGACAGACAGACTGACAAGCGGGGCATCCAAATTGGGCAACTAGGTGTAGGTACTTTGACTACACCCTTGCCTGAACTAATAAACTGAATGGAAACATGGAGAGACGAGAAAGTTTATTTTGCTTTATCAGCTGAGTTGATTACATGATTTGGCCACTGCAAAGAGCTCCTTAACTCGAGGTTTCGAGCTTAAGCCCTCTGTTCGCTCCGACGAAGGGCTAACGCGCGAAACGTCAGCTTTAAAAACTCTTTACGATGGCAAATTTACATTATTAACACACAGTTGATAAAACCCTCCACCGACGCAGCATCACAGTTTCTTTAGAAACTTACCCCCGTTATTGACAAAATCGTACTAAGCTGCAGACGGACCTACTATAGACGGACATACACTTAGATCAACTGCCAGACAGTTGAGTATTGACCGAAAAAAAAAAATATTCCTTGATAACTTCAACCACTGGTCTCGATAGTAGTACTATATGTTTTTTTTCGTTGTAGCATCGGAACTCGCCATCCTGAAAGAGAAAGTAGAACGACGTGAAAGTGGGGAACCTGGTTCAGACTTTCCAGCTCCAGGCTCCGCCACATTAGGCGCGGATAAAATCTCCCAATTGACAGTGGAGGTGAGGTCATTAAGGAGGCGAGTGAGTGAGGTACAGGACGAGGCAGATGAGCTGAGACGAGCCAAGCAAGACCTAGAAACACGAATTAGAGGGATTGAAATTGAGAGGGATGCTGCAGTGAAGCAGAGCAGTCAAGTTTTAGGTTTGTATCAAGGGCAAGGCTAGGGAGGTCTTAGGAGGGGTGTGATCCCCCTCTTTGTCTAAGTAAGTTGGTAATTTTTAAAACAATATTTTTCTCGGCATGCTTCATTGTGTGAGTGAGATGTTGCTAATTGGAAACGAGAAAAGATGACATAGAGTAGCGTTATTTTTCATGACAGATAAACCAGTCTTCATAGGAATGGTGGAAAACGACATGCTAGTATTTTTCGAACTAGTGCACGCTGAATAGCCCAGTGTCCTTCTTTGTCGAGGAACAGTCATTAATGAATTAATCCACGAACAAACAGTGCGGAAGTATTTACAAGAAATCTATAAGTTGTTGATCAAAGACAAAGGCTTGTCATTTTCGCTTGAGAAATAGTGATTTAAAATCTCAAAAACTTTCAGAACCTTTTTATCCTTATTTTGCTTCAAGCGTAGTTGCAGAAATTTCAATTTATCATGTCACTGAAGTTAGCCATTGCTGGTCAAATTCTTTTCAAAAACCAGTTTAAAAACTTACAATTTAAATGATGCCTTAAATCGTTTGCAGGCTCAAACACCAGAGAAGTCGCCGAACTTGAAAGTCGACACGCGGCGGAGGTTGAACGCTTGCGCACCAAGCTCAAATGGTATGCAGAGACCCAGGCCCTTCTCGACCGTGATGCTATCACGCTGAAGAAGAAAGACGAAGAAATCAGCGAGCTTAAAGAAACAGTTGTCCGGTTGCAGGCCCAACACGGCCAAACAGTGGCAGAGAAGAAACAGAGGGGAGTGGAGAGGAGTAATGATGCAAAGAGGATACAAGATCTTGAGCGGCAGGTGAAGTAGTGGTGACGTCGCACTAACTGATTACGCAATTTCTCAGTTTCTAACTTATAGATTGAGATTATATGAAATTGAGATTGAAATGAGGGTTTTTCTCTATTTCTGGAGCACTGAGTAACAATGGCAATGTTTGAAGTAACGAGTTTTACTAAAAAAAATTATAGAGGTGGGTGTGTTTCATAGAAAATTTTTAGCAGTTTACTAACACGTAGCTATCTGTTATAAACTTTTTTTTAAGGTCCGTGAGATGGAAGAGATCATCAAACGCCGATATCCAAACTCACTTCCGGCTCTTATTTACGCCGCTGCCTCAGCACCAGGCCAAGCGCAAGCTGTGACGACCGAGTCACCTCGCAAACATTCACCGACTTATGCGTTCCTCGAGAGTCGAGTGAAAAAGCTTGAGGCTGAACTGGAGGATAAAGATGAGGAAGCAAGTAAAAGAATTCGATGCGTCGAACAAAAGTACAATGCGCTGAGATTAGAGTATGAAGAGAGAGTTAACGACCTGGAAAAAGATTTACTACGCGCAAATGAAGACAATGAAAAAAGTTTTAGATCAAAAACGCGCACTAAAATTCTCGAAGAGGAACTTCAAAGAGCGCGTGAGGCGAATGACGAGAAAGTTAAGCTGCTTCAGACTGAAATCGAAGTCCTTCAGGACGCTCTGTCTAAAGCATCAGCGGCTGAGGGTGCAAAAGGCAGTCGTAAGAAGAGATTGGAGTTCGAGAAGCGAGCGACTGATGATGCAAGTCTCGTGAATCAGCCTCTTCAGGAAAAACTCGAAAAGAAGGAGGCGGAGTTGGAGGATTTGAGGCAAACATGTAATAGATTGCAGCGAGAGAGAGAACAGATGCTCGCCACAGAAGGTCACTTAGTGGACAGGTATACGAGCCCTAAACCAGACCCTCTTGTTGATGACTTGACACTTGAGAATAAGCGACTTAAAGAGCAGGTCTCGCACTTGTCTCTGGATATGGATCAACAACGGGTTCGTTACCAGGCTTCTCTAGCGGAGAGCGAGCGAAGTACCCGGCTAGCTCGCGAAGAGACAACTGACCAGCTGGCAAGTGTGCAGGCTCAACACAAGCGTGAGATAGATCAGTTAAAAGCTAGTTTTGCTGCAGAACACGGGTCTTCTAAAATAGCCGAGCTCAAAAGTCAGCTAGCAGGTCAGGAGTTTGTTATTCAGCGACTCAAGGCGAAGATGACTGATACGACTGTCAACACTGAGACAATAGCGGCAGCAAGGGTGAGGCTAAAATAATGTGTAGAGTATTGAAGATAAATGCATTCCCCGTGCATAATTCCTTTGTGAATTACTATTAGACTGGAAGATACAACCTTTCCCTCTCTTCCTAGGTTGGTTAACTTGCAGTGGATGTTTATTTGAGCCGATTTACTCGTATATCCTTGGGGTAGATCCTACCTGCACTGAAACCTTTCCAGAAGTTACTGGTAGGGGGAGGAGAGGGGTGCATTAACAAGGTTTTATGAAGGTGTCTGGTCAATGACTGGATGGGTGGTGAAGGATATTAAAGTGGGGGGAGGAATCATTTGGTCGTTCATCGTCCTTTATCTGGAAAGAAACATGCCTGTGTAGAATCCGTGCAAAAGCGTTATTTAAGAATTTAGGGTTAGATAAATACACTCTAAACAGCTATCTTCCCGATTTCTCATCCATTCCCATCCATTCTTATCCATTCTTTGACTTGGTGATCCTTGCAAGAAAGCTTGAATTAAGTATCAACTCATTATACTAGCTTCCCAAACGTGATGTTCATGGCTCAGCTTTTGTAGTGTTTCTAACTGTAACGGAAAGGTGAATGGCTGGAATTTCGTATGGTTGGTCGTTGGTTGCTGGTGTAAATTTCGAAGCCAGCTCGACGATATTTCAACCTCACACTGTCTTTCCTTCGAACTTTTTTTGTCTCATTGAGTAATATCGGATCAATGTCGATGAGTGAGCAACTGCGCACCTACCCCTCTCCTCCCTAAACCAACAACGATCAATTTATAACAAGTTAGGGTTAATGCTGGGTTAGGGAAGGGTGTGTTTGCAGATACTGACAGTTATCCGTAATATTTACATTTTTTTCCAAGGAAAACCTTACCGTAAAGCGTAATAGATTTCTTCTTTATGTTAGGTTCGTGAGGAATCTCTTCAAAAGCAGGTTACTCAACTTCAGACAGATCTGAAGCGTGCTAAGCAGATGTTTACACCGGAAATGAACCACTTCGACTCACTAGAGGCTAAAATTGCTGCTCTTGAACAAAAGCATTCTCAAAGAGAAGTGGACTTACAGAGGGTTATAGAAAAAACCCACCTTACGGCAAAGATCGAGAAAGAAGAAACGGAGGCGAAATGGAGACAGGTTGTGCGACAGAAAAATCGGGAAATCGAGAAATTTAGATTAGAACTTGACGGTATTCTAGAAGTGCTTAGTGAACTGAAACGCCAGGGAGTGGTCATACCGTTCAGAAATGGAGAAGGGTTTGCGCCTTGAAGGAAGGCTTGCCTGTTTCCAAGACGCCGGGGTAGTCTGGGCCTCTCTGGGCCATGGTGCAAGCTATTCATACGAAACATCCGCCAGTGTAGTTGTAGTTCCACTGTACGGCACAAGCTGAAGAACACTAAGTGTTTGTAAAGCTTTTTAACAGCTTTACGGCGGAACAAGGAAGGAATGCGGGTTCATTTCGTCACTTACTAGTACGGGCGAAAGGCAGGATGCTTGTCTGGCTGACTAGCACCTTAGTGCACCTTTTTGTAGAGGCCGTGATTGTTCGGAGGTTAGATAACACCAGCCACTGGATAAATCTCCATCAGGTGGACAACGCAGTGTATTTTTCTATCACCTATCCGCTGAATAGCGATTTATACGTTGGCTAAGAGTTATCCGCCCTTTATAATACTGGGCCCAGATGGATGTGTAAGCAACAATACAGCGGCCGTTGCCCTTCCATGTTCATGGATACATCTCCCTTTGTACGGAAGAACTCGATCTTCTCTGTCGACTTATACGAAGTTAAGGAGAAGTTTAAGGAAGCAACAAAGTGTAGATAGGGATTTATCCAGTTAGAGAATTATTTATCCTGATAGAGATTTATCCAGATGGAAACGGCTATTGTATGGAACTTTCCTTTTCAACACCATGTTGTAACTTCGCGCCGTTAGTCTATCAAAAAGACCATGTGCTTGCACTACAAATTACCAGTGCTTCCCTCAAAAAAAAACAACAACAACAAAAAACAAGCAAATCACTGCAACAAAAAAGGACGATATTTTGAATTGGTAAACGAAATAGTGTACTTCGTTTTGTGTTCATTTCCAAGACTAAATTAATGTATATTTTAGATTGAATCATGAAGAAAAGAATGAAAATAAGGATAAGCAAATTTCCAGTTCTATTTAAAGTTACAAAATTTAAGGTTTGTTTTTGTATTTCAAGCCCGGTAGTTCTTTACCATCCCTGTGCCTTTCGCTTGCGCTTTTTCTTAAGTTTTGGTCTCCAGGCTGGTTCAATAAGATCGTCACCTTCCTCGGGTTTGGTCTCGTCCGCTGGTCTCATTTCATCTTGTTCTACATCTGTTGATGGTTCTTTGGGAACTTCTAAGGGTTTTCTTTTTGAGAAACAAACACATGAGCCTCTAAGTGATTTTATTGTGGTTTTTCATGCTTAGGACAAAGCACTCATGAAAAAGTGTTGGTAATACATGGCTCCCTCAAAGGAAATGAAATTCGTCCATTTGCGGTTTCCCATCGAGGAGACACAATGTTGTGATGAATCGAAAGGTCCGTGGCTGGGTTACTTATGTTTTGTACTCCTCACTCTGTCACTCAACCTCTCACCTTAGGGGCGTGTGGATGGTTCTAAAGTAAGCCTAAGTAAATACTGATAGAAGCAGGGGGGGTGGGGTGGGGGACACAATAGACAAGTCTCAAATCTGGAGGGAATCAAACATTCTTTCTAATAAGTCGATTACCTGGTAGTAGATTACCGTTCCGCTCCTCTCGCCATCGTATTAGGGATATGTTAAGTTATCCCTTTCTTGAGAAGTATGCCAAATTCTGACAGTGTGATATTGCAAAGACCGAAATATATTGGTAACATCGCCGTTCCCAGCGATCACCATCTTTCTCATTCCCACAAGACAGAGATTTCCGGTGTAAATTTTCGTAAAGAAGGGTCCGTTAGTTCTCAAATTTGATAAAAATGAAAAGCTCTCGCTCTGATCATGGGCACTTCTCAAATTTCCTTGCTTAAAGCCCTTTCTTTTCTTTTTTACCTTACAGCTTACCTTTTTCGTTGTAAGTAAGCCATGATTAAACGGTAAGCCCCACAGATTGAATACGAGCAAACATAGACAGCTAAGGAGCAAAAGAAAAAGGAAAACAAATCCATCATGTCCAGAGGTGCTGTTAGCAGGTAATTTCACCTGAAAATTGAATAAGACTGTGACTATAACTTTTGTGCCCTGAATCCTGAATGCATGAATTTACTCGCACGAACTGAGAGCGTACTTACGTGAAACGAAGAGCAAGAACAACGAAATAGTATCTTGTGGAGTCCACTGATAAAGAAAGAAAATTCCAAAAACAGCTACCTTGGCAAGTTTTTCAGAAACTGACCGCACGGCAGAGTTGAAAGGAGCGTCACTCTTGTCTTTGTCTTTCAACGAAAAATCTGACGTTACAAACGAATTTGAAACAAGGAGCGCGCGCTGAAGAGCGAGCGCAATGATTAACGCCCATGCTTCAACTCCATCATTTGCATAAGCACTGAAAATTTATATTATCATGTCTCTCAATGACACATTTATTTTGTTTTTTTTTTCTTCAGTCATTCATGAGCACCACTACGTACATTAACTTTGAGCTTAGTAAGCCAAAACTCTTCGCTTACTCCTCTCTCAACACTGATACGATGAAACCGCTTAGCATCGTGAAGCCGCTCTAAGACCTTTAGAATATTTTCTCTCTCATTTTAGATTTCTCAGTTCTGTCTATGAATATAAGCGATTGCCTTTTTCAAAAAGTATTTTCTCCGTCTCTCGCCTTCATGGAAACCAGCTTTTCGTTGTTGCTAAAAACAACTATTTTCTATAAAAACATAAAACTCAATCTAAACTCAGCATCAACCTCGTCCCCACGTCTTTTATCCTCAAGGGAGTCGAGGCTCACTTAGCACGTGCAAATCTTAGAATTAATTTGCCATTTCGGTCTCTCGCCTATTTCCGTCCGACGAAAACCATAAACAACCGAAAAACAATTAAACCAACTAGTCCAGTTCCGAAGCTTGGCAAAAGCATGGAAGGGGTTGTTTGTACTTTTATAACTGGACATGGACTGATAACTCACCAAAAATGAGAATGAATGTTTTGTTTGCGCGTCTTTGTAGCCTAGTAGCTTCATGAAATTTATAGGATTTTAAATTCACAGTGGAAGTATTTCTATCTTGTTTACCAAGAAGGTAGGATTTCTCAATAGCCCCGTGCTATTCTAAAACAACCGAAGGCAATCTCTTGTTTTCTTTGTATACATAATGAAGTGTGGGGCTGTGTGGGGCTGTGTGGGAATCGCCCAGGCGATTCAAAGTGTACAAAATAATTTGTATATATCAACAAAGTTGAAATGGTAAACTGGCCACCGTAACGATTACAAAAGCTGACGTTTCGAGCGTTCGCTCTTCCTTGGAGCGAATAGAGGAATTGTGGGTTGTGTGCGCTTTTAAAGACAGAAAATGGAGCTACGTTATTGGTGGGAACATGGCAACGAGAAAAACAAGAGTAAATTAGTGGAATGAAATGCGTTCGTTGATCCCTGTGGGATTTAGACTGCCGGTTTGAAAGATGAGCTTTCGTTCAAGATTTTTACGGCCTTCCGTGCTACCTAAGTGTAAGGAAAGACCGCAGATTGCTATGTTGCTTAGAATGAAGGGCTAACGCCCGAAACGTCAGCTTTTGTAATCGTTACGGTGGCCAATTTACCATTTCAACTTTGTTGATATATCGAAATTACTTCGTTACCCCTACCGACGCAGCCCCAAACAGTTTCTTTCGAAACTATCAGCCTTTATTCAAAGTATACCAAGGCTTTTTAAAATGTGTTCGCGAGCCTACAATTTCCATGACAACTCACGGATTAAAGCAGAAACTTGTCCTTATAATTGGGACCGAATTTTCTAGCCAAGGAACGAATAAAAACATAGCTTTTGATCAGGCAGAGGGCTTTTTCCACGTTGATTTATTTCAAATAATACACAGAAGCACCGTACGTACAGTGCAGCCGGTTTACAATTGCACAACGGACAATTAGTATTACGTTTCGCTTGCTCGACTCTTAATAAAGCCGGTTTCGCTCATTTTGTTAACTCCACAAGCAGATCCTTCCTGCAATGTAATTTACAATTCACCTATGTATGAATTTATTAGAATTTCTGGTTATTCGTTGATATCTTAATGTTTCATATTTCTCAATTGTAACGTCCTTGAAACGCACTCTTCACAACAATTTTGTCAATTTAACTTCTTTGGGTGACAAGTAACTATTTTGTCAAGGCTGACGATGATTCCTTTGACATACTTGGTTCGAAAAGGCTCCAAATATCTCAGGCCTTTCAGGGAACTCTATGGTGAAGCTCATTTTTGGGGTCCCTTATTTCTTGTCAACTAGACATCTCTGCCACTGAGGTCAATAGCCGACTCATGTGCCTGGGGTCCGATATACCCGCAAATTGGAAATGTCTCTCCTCCATACCAGGCATGGCCGCCATGTCGTCATATTCCACTTCAGCAAGACTTGTGATGTACATGGGCAGGCCTAATGAAATCAGCCACTCTTCCATACTTTCCAGGCTTCCGAGAGGATCTCTTGTAAATTCTAATTCCGATACGTTACAAGGAACCTGTAGGAATCGAAACAAACGAATGTTCAACGAAAAAAAAAGAAAAAAAGAAACACCATTCTTTTTCAATAACAACGGCTTATCCCGTGTTTAGATACATTTTTTCCCTACATGAATACCGGAAACAAAAAAAATAGCCAATTAACGACAGATTTTTTTTTATCTTTCACTATTTGATTCCTTAGAGTACGAGCAGTCACTCCTTTTTGGCGAAGAAATTCCGCGCGAATTTCCGCGCAGATTTCCGCGCGGTGCACTAACATCAAGATTCTTTTCTTTTATTTTTTGCTGTTTTTTTTCCTCGCTCGTGGGATTTCGCCGAAAAGGCTGGACTGCTAGTACGATGTAGTCTACCGATTCCCTGGAAATTGGTCATCAGTGTAAAGACCACTTAATGTATAAAAGTAGATCCTTGAGAATCTTATCGCAAACTTTATTTGTAAGCATCACTTGTAAGTAGATGCGTCACCCTTTTTATTTTTTAACTCATATCGACTTCTATACGTTTCAGGACAAAATCGACCATATAAAAGGGCAAGATTCAATCCGTGTACGTACAGCTGTTCTACCAGCTTTCTTTAGCTTCCGGATCCTCAATCTCTCCAAAATATTAGCGAGTTCTTCGTGTGATCGGCGGAGTTCTTCAGCGTATCGGTCCACAAGGTTCACTGGTACACCCCAACAACCATTCTGGAATAAAAATATATATATAATCGGTTAATTATACAATAGATTACACTTACCCTAATGAATTGCAGAGTGTGAGGTTTATAAACAACGAAAACATTAGTCTGGTGTTAAAAGTAATACTTCACAAAATTGTGAGTCGATTTCTCGTGCGGGAAACCAAGGAAAAAAATCAATTTTCTAGGATAGATTAACATACCATCGTATAGGAATAAAAGTACAAGGGACGGCCATTAATAGAGAACGGACTGGAAACGAACATTTTGAAAATCTCGGAAAGTGAAATTTCAAGATTTATTTTTGGTTACGAAGGTTTTTATGAGCCAGAACAGCGCACTTTCCCGAATTTAAGTATGAGGCCATTCAAACTAAAAAGATTTTAACAAAATTTGAGCTTCTAAGGACCCTGCCAATTCATCTCCCATGACTGACCAAGACAGAATTTCTCCTTCTAATATCGATGCGATATCAAAAAGACAACTATTGAGAATGCAGAAAAATATGAATTAGGGATCAACAGTTGATCCAATACCAAATTCTCCCGGCCAGCATGATAAGAATTGTATGTTTAGCAGTAAAAAGACATCCTAACGAGATCTGAGAGTGAAAGGATCAATGATTAAAACAAAACAGACGCATAGTGCACGTTAGATAATACTTACCGCATCTGTGTAGGGTTTCTGAGTTAGATCGATGCGTTCTATATGCAGTTTTCTTTCAATCATCTCCCCTAATGAGTGCGAGGGTCGTTTAACTCGTGGCGCCGGGACTGGCGGAGAAGAGTCATCCCCTGCTTCGTTTTTCGAAACCCCTAACTCAGTTCTTTTCGTAATTGACGGTTTACTTTCTGCTCTATCCATGTTTGTTTCCATACTGCTGCTACTAGATTCCCCATGGGTTCGCATAACTTCTGATGTCGCCCCCTCCACAGGGCGTGGTGGGGGTACTGCTGTATACAGCTCATCTTCTGTGTCCTGTGTTTCAGTCATTTTTGCGCGCGGTCTTGGCTTTGGTTTGGGTTTGGGTTTAAGCTGTGGTTTCTCGCTGGCGTTGTGAACGACAGGCACTTTATAAACCTCCTCAGTTGAAGCAGCTAATTTTGAGTCCTTATGGCGCTGTGACGCATTAGCAGGCGGAGGACTGGTTTGAGTCTCCACACTGCGAGCCACCGTGTCTTCCCGAGCAGTTGTTGAGTTCTTGGGTCGAGGTGGCAGGGGAGGGGGTCTGTGTCTAGGCTTTTTCACCCCTTCGCCAATAATGCCGTCGCCTTTTTGTTCCACTGAGACAGGTTTAAGGTAACCCTGACCCTCCGATAGCTCGTCTCCTTTCGTTTTTCCTAATACTGGTTTCCGATTTTGATTATTTTTAAGCTTTGCAGATTCAAGAGTTTTCGTTTCTAGTAAAGGGTCATTCGATTTGATCTCCTTCCCTAAATCATTTGATAGGGGCGTTTCATCTGTTTGAGCATCACCGGACTTCCTTCGGTCCTCAAAATTCTTGGAACTTGGCCGTGTAGGTACGGGAGGAGGTGCCCTATGAGGTACCGACACTGTGGACCCTGGTCTGGCTGGCACATCAGGTTCCATTTTCAGGGAATCCGTAGGATTAGATAAAGGAGTGATCCTTTGAGTCTCTTTCACAGGAAGCGATGCTTGCCTGCCAGGGAGAGGTTGTCGAGACTTCTGCTCTTGCTGTAATTTAACTAAATAAAAAAAAAACAAAACAGAAAAATTAATATGAAACCCATGCCATGAAAAGGGTAATAATTATCGTGAATAAGACTGAGGTCTCTATCAAAACTCTGAATCTCCACGAGTACAAGAATTAGCTTAACCAACTTGCCCATCGCAAATTGGAGACCACTATTTTGCTTCTTTGCTGAGCCAGAGTGTATCATCAAAACCCAAAAGAAAATGTTCTTTTTCTCAAATCTATTCTCTAACTGTTTACATTGGTACTTCTACAAGGAAGATAAATGTTTCTATTGTACGTGCGTACCATCTACTCCCTCTGTAGCAATATTGTCAACAGACTGAGCTTGCTTTCCCAGCACCGCTTTCATCTCAGACAAGAAGTTGGGCTGCCTGTGTGGAGAGGCGCAAGTGACCGGTTTCTCATCCGCTCTCCCCATGCTCTCCACACTGCTGGATGAGCTGTGCGGTGACTGAAATGAACATCCGTTACTAAAGCATTAAAACAGTATACAAAGCTGAAATTCCACTGAATTTCGATAAAACATTGAAGGTAAAGGCACTGACTGCAGTGTAAGTTGAAAATTTGAGAAATGTATGAGGGATTCCGTGGTAGTAACTTCGTTAGCATTATGTTTGCGCGCCACTTAACCGAGAGGTTGTCGCACCAGTTTACATGTAGTTCTTCACACTAAATTAAATAAGTCAAGCGACAAATCCTTTCACATTTTGCTCGGCACGATTCTACTACGTTGACGTTAAAATTTTTCTTTTAAATAACAGGGATCGAGGACTATCTTTAAGTAAGTAAGTAAGTAAGTAAAACCTTTATTTAGACACGATAAGTATTGAAGCTGTGCAGCTTGTGGGGTCGTGTATAAAATAAAAAGATACATAAACAATAGTTGTAATATAGTATAAAATAAGATTCACGTATAAAGATAAGATAGTGTTTATATTAATAATTGCTAGTATTACCTAACCAATAAAATTATAGACCTAAAAATACTTCCTTTTGGGAGGAGCTATCTTTTACAGAATAAATTAGAGAAGTCAATGTCCCTGACCAAAGGAAGCTTCTTAATTATCCTGGAGAAACTTTTGACACTATGCGCGTTACGGCACTCGATTGGCAGGTAATTCCACAAAATTGAACCTCTATAAGATATGGAATGCTTTTTGATATTCGATTCTTTCGTCAGGAATGACTTGAAAGAAGACACGCTGGTTTATAACAGGCATCCACCCAAGTCTCTTTTTTCAATTTTCGCTTTTGCCCTCTCGGCGTATTTCCATCTCTTTCCTCTGACGTTAGCTAGCCTTCCACCTTACATGGTCCTTAAAACCTCAGTGGGAAATTTGACAAGGAGTGGTAAACAATTGAGATGGAAGTTTTTTTGTAACCGATATTTATTTTGGTCTTCGACCTTTCTTTTTTCATCAGTGATATTTCATTCAGCTCAATTGAACTGATTGGTTTTGTCTGAAAATAATTTGAAAGATCTCTTCCTCTTGAGTACCATGTAGGGGTACTCAAGAGGGTACTCAGAGGGGTGTAGAAGACACCCCTCTGAGCTCAACATGTCTGATCAGAATGTTTGACGGAAGTGAGTTTCGGTGCAGGAACCAGAGGGTTGAAAATGATGCTCACGAAGAAATAGGGAGAGAGCGTGTTTGGTTTGTGGAAAGCTATGAGCTATCTTAGTGTTTACCTTATTTACGCCCTGAACGTTCGCCAGCAACCTTTTTGGAGATGGGGCTGGGGAGGAGTCGTTAGTTCCCAGGACCTCATCTCCTGAGCTCATACTGCTGTCGACACTACCACCGTCTCCCCCTGCGTTTGCACCCTCCACTCCTGTTAATGGCATAAAATAATGCATGGTAACTTTTCTATTCCTTTTGCGCATTGAGCGTTTGCTTTTCAATTTACAATGCACGCATGAAAAGGATGGGTTTAAATTAGACAGTTCCTCAAGCGTAAGTAGCGATATCAAAAGTATCATTCTAGAATCATTTACTTTAACCGTATATACATGTAACATCTGTTGTTGTTCAATGTTGCATGGTTGACATTCAGGACCTTTCCAACTAGCGAAAGGACAATCCACAAACAAAAATATTCAGTCTATATAGAGTAAGAATGGGTCTCACACTGAATGTACATGTAGTGTTGTAGTGTGCAGAGTGCCAAAGATACATGTATTACAAGAAGGTACATAAAAGTAAAGCAAACAAAACCCACTGCAGACATACCAGTGTAAAATACACTATTTGGTTCTAGAGCAGGATTACCAGACAATCTAAATGAAGCTGACGACAGGGCACCAGACACTCTCTTGATACTGATCCGTGAAAATCCAGAACTTTTAGGTAATCTGGGCGATTCCCTAGCGGGCTGGTTATGTAAAAAAATAATAATAAATAACGGTAAGGACAATCATGAAATCTCTCAGTTAATACGCGCGCATGATTGGTCAATATTTTTCTTTTTTTTTAGCGCGCCGTAGTTCACTTTGCGGCCCACTAAATTCAAAAGTTTATTTGAATTGAAATCTTTTTCCTCTACTTGAACCCAGAGATGTAATAAAAATCTTTCTTATCACGTTTCTCGGTCCATACTGCTCACATTTATGGCTCACACGCCTTGGGCCATAAATAAATCTGACTTACAGTACAAACCTCGAAATCGGTTAGTAAGAGGTAAAGAAATCCAGGAGCAAAAATGAGTATCTTATCTCCTGAATTTCCTCGGTCCATACTGTAAGTTATGGAACCTTGTTTTTTCCGCTTGGAGATATGGCTCACACGCTTTGGGTCATAAATCTAACTTACAGTACAGACTTCAATCTCAGTTAGTAAGAGGTAAAGAATCCAGGAGCAAAAATAAGTATCCCTTCTCTTGAGTTCTCATAGAAGATAAAACATGCAACTTGTCTTTACATTTCAATTTGATATCCAGCAAAGAGCTAATGAGATTTTATGCACTTAACAGCTTAGAGGTGTCATCTTGATAAATCATTCCATTCGGTCTGGCAAAATTATAACAAACATATCACAGATGTTGGACCTAAAGAAATTTGCTTTCAGGAGGAACACAGTAAGTCCAAAATTATATTCTTTAATTCTCCTTGAGTGAGTTTCATTCCCCCAAACGTTTTTACTCTCTTTGTGTGTTTTAATCTTCTTTCTACTCATTGCTACATTAATTATTTTACATTCCTCAATACTTTTCATTTTTACAATGATTCTGTCACAATCCTGGTAGAGATGTACCTGATACTATAGCCCAAATAGACATCCAACAAAATCAATAACATCTAAAATGTAGCTACAGCTGTAATGTCTGTTTGAAGAGACATACATTCAGTTTACAAAACAACAATGACAGCTGTGGTACAGGTAGAGCCTCAGCAACAGCACACAGACAGCAACTTACAGTGGTGTATTAATATAAATATTTCTTATTAAAAAAAAAAAAATCTGATCACCCTCGAAGAAGAAGCATCATCTGAATCACATCTTTTATGTTTCTCTTCATAGCTAAGGAAATAAAAACACATTAGAATTTTTTAACAGACACCAGTTGTACACTGAATAAATTGTAACAAAATGTATAAAATACAACCTCACACAAAACAAATGTTCAAAAATCCTTCTATATTTTACAGCTAATAATTATGAGTTCCAAATTATATGGCTGTAAATTTGGACACTAAAGAGGGAAGGGGAATGCATTACAGGCACTTTCAGTGCTACAGCTGACTAATCTGCTTAAAATCTCCACACAGTCAAACCTTGATTATCCAGATTTCTCAATCCTGACTTTTTCTCTGGTCCCAATTTTGTCATGAATATTTATTAGTCATGATCAAGATGCGTAGCCATATTCTTTTAAAACTACAGTGTTGAAAAGTGAAGTAAAGGCAAGTTTGTTTCCCTTTCAAAAAGCAAAAGCAGTGCTTGCACATGTCATAACTAAAGGAGAACATTATAAAGAGAGGTCTGACTGGCTTAGAGTTGCTTTGTTCCTTAGTGAGATTTCACAATTTGTATATTAATATTAAATGTTTTATTATTTGAATGTCGCTTTCTTCAATTAATCAGTTTTTGTCCCTCATTAATAATCATATTCTTGATATTCGGACCCTCAATCATGCAGATTACTTTGTATAGTCCCAACAAGTCTGCAGAATCAAGGTTTGAGAGTACTAACCAAAATTATAACATAACCAAAGTAAAGCGCGCGCTCTGATTGGTCAATTTAGCGTCCCCCATTTGCCCATGGGTGTACGCTGCTGACGTGAGCAAATGCAAARACTATTTTTCCGCGCGCGCTTGTTTTTTCTGGTCGCGTAAGATTTGTTAATTAAAAGAGAACTCTTTAGCTACAATGTATCAATGTTATGTTATAAAACAAATGGTAAACACCACAGCGTACACTATTGAGTTATGGATGCACTTGGGAGGTTTGCTAAGCACTCAAGAAGCTAGAGTCGCTCTCGGCTATCGCCTCGAGCGACTCTTACGCTTCTTTCGTGCTTAGCAACCTCCCGCGTGCATCCATAACTCAATAGTGTACGCTGTGGTGTTTACCATTTGTTAATTTTCAAACAGCTTATGAGAAACAAGAGCTACATGTAAGTCAAGGTACAGACAGGACAAAAGGGAAAATATTAGCCTTTTAAACCCTGAGGACGACTACATCTAAAATCTTCCTTCAGCATCACTGCTAAATCATACACATGTAAGGAAATAAGCCCCAAAATAATGAAGCTCTATATTGTTACACAATTTCTCCTTGTCAGTGCCATTGGATACAACTGCATGTACAAAGAACAGTGTGGAAATTCGCATACTAATGCCAGGGTGCAGAGGGTTAAAAAAGATCTGACATATTTGGTTAATTTTTAAACTGTCGGCCAGTATTTTCCATGTTCACATCAGTTTGCATAAAAAAGCCACTCTTAATGCTTAGTCCACATGTGATATTTCATGAAAATAGATAGTTACGCACAGTGAATACTGTAGGGTAAAAACTCTCAAGCCCCTTTCAAAGATATCAAGTGAATTGAGCCTCTTAATGTTCTTAAAAAAAAAAAAAAAAAATTGCTCTGTACCTGACGAATCGTTTGAGTGCCTGCTCAACACTCATCTCTCCATTCTTGACACTCCTCATCAAGTTAATTCTATCTTCCTCACTCATGGTCGTCATTTCACTTGCAATAAACTCAGATGAGGGTCTGCTACTTGATTTTCTCTTTGTGCTCTTTCCGAAAATACCACGTTTTAATTTGGGTTTATTGCCCATCTTTTCATCTTCACAAGAAAAGTCATTCTGGAGGAAACAAAAGAAAACAATGTAAAGCTTAAATAAAAAAAAAACAACAACAAAACAAAACAAAATTGCCATGAAACTCAATGAATGATCAATTTAGCAACTGAAAGTCAGCCTACTATTGAGGAGGTACCTCCCGTATTGCACTACACACCATTATTTACTGTGCATAATATCACATAATGTTGTTTAAAATAATATTACTTAGTAGTTTTTCTATAAATTAAGTATTGCATTGTTCCAGATGCTCAAGACTTTCTATCTAACTAGTGTTTTGGACATTTTTTACTTTAAAAACTTGCTTCTACAGTACATCCATTTGCCATTTGAAGTAGTTGAGACATTTACCATGACAAGAGATAATTGTTTGTCCTGTGTTCCAACATGTTGTGTTCCCCCACTCTCCCCTGTGTCCTGTGTTCCAACATGTTGTGTTCCCCTACTCTCCCCTGTGTCCTGTGTTCCAACATATTGTGTTCCCCCACTCTCCCCTTTGCAATGTTAATGGCTAAACTGTAAGCAGCGCCATGCACAAAGCTTTTATTGACAACACTGAATCAGGGAAAGGGGGGCAGCTTTTGGTTTTTTGCACTAAGTTTCTTCATGGCTATGTGATGAAGTCAGTAAATACACTTTTTGCTCTGAGGAATCACCATAGTGGGTGATGAATGTTGGTATCCGATCCAGAAAGTCATCTATGCCAAGGAGTGTTCTAGTTTTTACACTAACCCCTCAAAACAACATTGTGTAAGGTAAAATAGAATTGCATTAACCTCCTTATTTAGCAAGAAGCAAGAAAAAAAAACAAAAAAAACAAGTGAACAACAACCACAACAACAACAACAAAACAGGAAGACACAAACCTTAGGTTTTAAATAATCATCATTTCTGCTGTCTTCTTCATATCTGTAAGAGCATACATTGCATTCAGGTTTTTTCTTCGGAGGAAAAGGGAAAGTCATTTAATTTATAACTGTCATGGTAATGGTTGTGTAAACCCTTTGACTTCTGAGAGTGACCAGCACCTAATTTCTCCTCACAATATCAGTTCTGAATCAAATATTAAAGTCATGAGAATAAAGGAAATGATCACCAACAAAAGAAGCGCTTGATTGTTAAACAAACTTTTTTTTGTCAGCGTCTAAGAAAATGTATAGAGAACAGTATGGAGAATATGCATACTGATATTAAGGTGCAAAGGTTCAGTAAGTTTTCTCTTCACCAAATTTCCTCAGTTAAAGCCTGGCAGGTCAAGAGAAAACTTTAAATATTTTTCATTTGACCTTACCTCTTCAACTGTTCTACAGCTTCTTCTACTGTGAGTTCCCCTTGTTTGACCATGATCATGAGTGCCATGCGATCTTCCTCTCCCATTTTAATGGCTGATGCCAGCACATTATAATCCTCTTTCTTTTGATTTGACAGCTTTTTCTCCAAAGGCTGCTTCTTTATCTCATTTCCATGGTTCTTCTTCTTGCTGCCACCATGAAACAGTCTGAATCTAAATGGTTTTGATTTTAAAGAGGATGCTTCTCTGTCCCTTGGTTTTGGCTCCACATTGACTGGAAAGTAAGACACAAAGATGCCATGTACAAGCCGTAAAGGTCAAACATGACCAACAAATGATTGGCACCACAGAAAGGTTAGTAGTTTAGGGACCTGAACACATAACAAGCCAGCCAAATTCAAGATCTTAAGGTCCAGGATTATTCCCATGTGTTCCTGAGTCAAACACAAACTAAAAAAATTGCTTCTCAATCTACCCACCAGTTTTGGTGAACTGGTAACAAAACAATCTCACCTAAGAGATGAAGAAAGTTGCATCTCACTTCCCTCTGGGAGCAAAGTGTTCCTTAATTTCTCAGTACTCCAGTTTTCATTTACAAACATAATTAATCATTGCAATTAAATGAGTTGGAGATACTGTGAGTCAATTTGCAGCTACACTGTACCAGTTTCTTACCATGTAACTCTTTCAAAGAGTCTAAACTCCTTGAAAGCTTAGTATTTCTTTCTACCTTCCTTCGTTTCTTTTCCTTCTTACCACGCTGGGCTGGGCTGTCAACATCCAAGTAGTCAGCTGGGATCCAACCCTAAAACACAAAACACAGCAGCTAATAATAGTGCAATGTACAGTTGATAGCAAACTTTGAAATAACTGGGAAAGCCATGTAATACTGGCAAAATTTTTGCCTGCAGTGCAGGCATCTTATTAGGGTGAGGTAATAATAATAAACTTGTGATCATTCACTCAACTGGCCTTGTTTGATTTGGAGATGGGGACGATGGTGGGGGGAGGGGGGTGGGGAAAGGCAAAAGGACCCCTGCTTGAAGAGGCCGTTGAAAAGCAAAACACCCCCTGACACACTCAGGTAGAGCAGATGAGTGAAACAGTGAGGCTGTGGCAAGCTGTGAGCTTAACTGCTGTTAATCCCATCAAAGATGCTTTTCTCATTTGATCATAAACAATACTTTGAAGCTGACAAAGGACAACTACACTTGAAAACAGACAGCTGGAAAATTAGGCTTTTCTTAAACCTGTTGGCAACAAGGCCAGCAAATCCTTTCCAGAAGCAAGAAGAGAAATTGCATCTTTTTGTTCCAATTTTAATGCACAAGACATTTCGAATTCTGAAAAACACTTATTAGTGCTTACTCAAAAACAGAATCGAAACTGAGAGCTTCACCATCACCAAAACAACAATTACCTCTAGCAGGCATAACATTCACTACTCTCTACCAATGATCAGACTTGTTGCACTAATGCCTACAACCACCAGTGGACCAAAACTAACCAATCACAGCTGATTTACAAGACTGGGTTCTCACAGCCATAACAACTAACCAAAGCCAACCAATCACTATTCCCATACGAAACCTAAATGTACATGTACAGTACTTGACTCACAAACAACTCTTCACTTCACCGTGATGATAACATCTACTCCGGTTGTTAAAACCTGAGTTACCCTTTCAAATAACAGTCCTTGTCAAGACTACATGTGCTTTCAACTTCAACTGGACGATCACACCACACAATAGACCTCTTTAGCTTGTATGTTTTGTTTAACCATTACAATACTCTAGAGAACTGTTCTTCCAAATTTCCTCTTATTCCCATCCACATATATGCATACTTTACAAAAGATAAATCTGGGAATTCTCTTTAGACCTGAAATGGGTCAACAAAACTTACAGTGTACAAGTCTTTCTCATTATAACTGCAAACTGGCCTCTCAATAACAACATGCTACATGATCTTTGTTTACATTTTACTGAAGTTTACACCAAGTGAAGCTCTCTTTTGTAACATGAGAAAACATATGTGCAGCTGTCAGTCATGTAAACTGAAAATTCTCTCTTTGGAAACTCAATGTAAAGCTGTTGTATGATAAAACAAAATCCTAAGGTTATTGGAAGGGTACTCACTCTCCCAGCTGGACTACTTGGGTCTTCAGAAGAGACAGATCTATGATGAACATCATCCTCAGATGTGGGTTCTTCATTGTGATCATCTGAATACCTGGATTTTGAAGAATGCCTTGTTGAACTGTGTCTTTCATGAGAATGAGGAGGAGCTGAAAACTAGTAATACACAAGGTTGGTTAATTTCAAACAATATTAATAATATGTGAAAATGCTGATAATTAAAATGTTCAGAGCTGATACGTAGTTTTATAATAGCATTTTGTTAGATAAGTAACACTAGTAAAAATTTTAGGGTTATAAAAAATTGACAAGTTCCCTCCCAATTTTCTCATGCAAACTAATGATGAGTGACAGCACATGATTTTCAGATTTTCTAAATTATTTACACTGTTCAGCTCTATCAAAACTGTACTTCTTAAAAATATTCACTGAGAGATATTATAAGAGAATAATCTGAGGTGTAAATGAACAATGTAATGGAAATTGCTTTGTAGAGACACAAAATTTGAATTTTTATGTAATTAAATTCCTGAGTAAATTGGGCAACACGATTTCTATATCAAAGTAGTGTCCAAGTTGTGTCATTAATTTTGCTTCAACAACAAGAAAAACAATTATAATGAATATATGAAGTTCATATATTTGAACTGGGGTATTAGATACGTATGATGCACGATCCTCACAGTAGAGCACGCTATTTATGAAATAGCGAAAATCAGACCTGAAAAAAATCAGGCCTGTACGGGCCTGTACTGTACTTAGCTCAATTGGTAAAACGCTGCACTAGTATCGCAGAGGTCAGGGGTTCGAATCCCGTACAGGCCTGATTTTCGCTATTGCATAAATAGCACGCTCTACTGCGAGGATCGTGCATCATACGTAAGAAAAACAATATTGCATACACACCTGTGAAGAGGAACTATCATAAGCTCCTTCCTTTTCTACTTTGTTCTGTCGTAGAATTCTTAAAGCTCTCAGCACGTGTTCCTCATATGTGTAAAACTTATCAGCATACAGGGTTACCAGTGTATCTAGACATCCCTCAGAGCCATCCTATGAGAAAAATATGTATTCATAATTATTCATGATCTGAATTTCAAGGGATGCTTAAAAACACTTTCATTCCAAGGAATGACAGAGGAGTAGTTTCTCCCTACCATACCAATACCATCTTTGGCAGTTTGATTATGAGAATCAAAGGTAATTGAGCTGAGTGGAGTGCAGTTTATTTGCCTTTCTGTTTCACAGAATTCTATTTTGTAAACTCTTTATGAATCAAGGTTTCAGATTAACTTGTCAATATGTTACTATTAATTTAAACTACAAAAGACAAAAGCAGATATCTGAGATATTTTCAGCACTTGATCTCAAATAAATATCAATAATGCCAAAAGTCATACTACCATATCAAAATCATTAAGTTAAAATATCTACGACACAATATCGCCAGTAATTATTTAAGGTCTTTGTGAGGAAATGAAAATCCTTAAAATAACAAGAATATCAAGATCATAAAAAAGCATTTAAACAATAAACTTAAGATCAAAATAATTTTTAACAACAATAATTAAAGGAGTTTTTACAGCAAACACTTATCATGGTTTATCGTCACTGAGAGAGGCACAGCATGTTTATTTTCGAACGAGGAAAGTCAAGTTGATTCTAATTACTGTCGCCCTCTACGAAGTGTTCTTGGCATCAATAACGATAACCCGAGGTTGTAAATTTATGTTTGTGTTGACAGCTAGCGGCAAATTGACACTTTTTATCCGATTATTGAGCCATGCCTTAATCTCACAACAAGGAAAAAGTAATTGTTCAAAATAAATCATTTTGCGACCTAAAAAATCATTACTGATCATTCAAGCAATTTTCTAGTAATAAGAAAAGAAAAACAAATTTCATACGACGAAGAACAATTATCGAGACCTGATTTGTGGTTTCCTGTGGAAAATTAGAGGTTATTTTCCCGATGAAGCTGTCTAAACGTACAGTTTCGAGTCTGACACGCAAATAGCGAAGATTTGAAATTTCGTCACATGCGAATCAATCAGAAAACAAGGATACTTTTCATGATTCTGAGAAATTGTAGTGTTTATTTTTTTTTGTTATAAAGCCGATTGCGTGCGAGTTTGATCGACATCTACCGTGTATATTAGCCAATATGATGTTCAATCTTTTTAAACGTGGGTGTTACACATAGATGGCAGAGAGTCTTCAGTTGTCAGTTTGCTTGAACAAAACATTCTTCCAACACATCGAGATAAAACCCTACCATTAAACAAAAATTTCATTTTCGACACTCAAGACTAATTATTAAAAGTACTAACCTGTTTAGAGTACGGATGTGTGGTTAAATCGATTTTGTCTTCTTCAAGTTTATCGTGCAACATCATCTTCAACGAAACGGGGAGGTATGTATCACGTTCAGGCTGCGCTTGTAAGGGCTCGCTGTCAGTACCTCCTTCAAGGACGAAGTACACAGCGGTACCACTCTGTTTTAAGCGTTCAACAGCATTCAGAATATCTGTCCTGTCCTTGAAGTTCCTAACACCAATCGCATCCAAATCCTCCTTTCCAATCTCTTTACAAATTTCGAGTTCATCGTAGCCATTATCCAGAAATGCTTGTGTGTAGTGGATGAAGCCGAGCGATCGAAGCCAGTCTTCTACGGAGCTACTCATCTCTTATCCCGCTTGAAAGTTATGAACATCTCGAGGAACACGAATTGGATAATCCGAGGGTTTTAAGTGACACACGGAAGACCACAGAAATCGATCACAAAGGCGGCATTTCCCAAATCGTCAGCTTTTGCGTCGCTGTGAAAACAACTCAGAACTTCCGATGCCAATCTCGAGCCCAGCGTCATTTTGGCTCCTTGTCAGCGGACAATAGCTTAGCAGCCTGGCATACACAACTGCGAGGCCACCAAGCAAGATGGAGGAAGAAGTCGTGAAGACTGGTGATTCCAAGCATTTGGGAAAGAAGGATGAAAGTGAAGGTCCAAATCTCAAATTTAGTCTTGGAGAGATGATTAAATTATTCAGTTTTACTGAAATTGTACAGTATCTGTGTCTAATGTGCAGGCAACACCACGCTAAAGGTCCCTTCTGCGGGCGAGAAAAGAAAACTTTCTGAGACTTGTGCAACACCCAAATTCACCATTAAACCAAAAATCTCGATGAATATTTCCGGATCTCAGCAGAAGAAGACAATTGGAGTCAGCTTAAAACTGGTAAGTGTATGCTTTTATGAAAATATTTTACTCGGAAGTTTGTCTGACACTTACAACAATGGGTATTTTTGTCAAAAAATAGCAACAATCTCATATCCTCCAGGATTATGAAAGAGGGCACGCCACGCGAAGTGGTAAAAAAAGGAATATTCCATAATCGGTTTAAATGTTATGTTTTAGGAACTACGAGGCGATACTTAATTGTTATTGTCTGCTTACGGTTAAATCTGTTTGTTTCAGGAGCTTGACTTTATATATCAACAAAATTTAAGAAATTGCGTTTTGCGAGTCTTTTTTTTGTTTTGTTTTTAATTTATCAGTCAGTCTACCAACTTCTAACGTAGCTTTACGCGTTTCTGGCTGGAAATAAAACACTTGCAATCAGTGGAGACAATTTATAATTATTTCTCATCAGTATTCTATTACCCTTGGTCAACCTGTATTATGCTTTGATCTTCAGGGAGCCGATCCAAAAAAACAAAAGACAGAACCAACACTGGTCGAAAAGAAAGGGTCTGTTGCATCTGCATTTGATGAAGAGGTATTTCTAATTTGTGGATTGGATTGACCTTAACAGGTTTAACTTAGCAGTAAACCTGATTAACTGGCATATTAATATTTTTTTTGACCAAATGTCACCTAGGATAGCCCTAGTTTGATCCTGTAAATTCATTAACCTTTTTACTTCCAAGATCTCATTTGCAATTCTTTTTAGTGTCTGCCATACAGTTCTTATGATGTTATTTTGGAAAATTTGATAATTTATTCATTTCTAAATTTGGTATTAATCAACTAATTGGTATTAATAATCAACTAATTGATAATCAACTAATTGATATTTTTTCTTTACTCTCATCACTTGCCTGCTATTGCAGGGCTCGACACTAACTTTTCAACTTACTAGCCAAGTGGCTAGTGACATCTTAGATGTTTTTAGATGTTACGACAATTTCAGTCTGTTTACTAGCCAAACTGGCTAGTGGAAATTGAAAACCACTAGCCAAAACTGAATTTCTACTAGTCTGTGGCTAGTGGTCTACCGTTAGTGTTGAACCCTGTAATGTTTTGGTATAATGGGGAGAAATTTGTCTTGGTCACCTAGGGAGTTAAATGGTTAAAGAATAGACATAACATGAAACCTCAAAGGGCCAATAGGGGTTCAGTTTAACTAAAAGTAAGGTGGATTTTTCCACGGAGTCTTGCAGTTACTGTATTTTCAATTATTAATGGTTAATTTTACAACATGGAAATTATGAAATTACCTTCGAATTCCACAGATATTTTCATCCTGTTTATTATTTCATAGTTGTTCTCAATCTTAAGGTTATTCGCAAGTATTTTGATTTCTTAGGACTTTGTTCAAGCCCTTGAAATTTGGTAAAAGATGAAACAGATGTTGTGGTTCAAATATTTTTTTGGTTTGAAATTTTCAAAGTATTGTTGTTGGTCTTAGATTATCATGGTGAAAAGGTCTACATGTATCTCGTGTTGTCTAGCTGCAATACCTTTCGTGCTCTCACAGTGATTATTTCAATACATGAAGTATAAATGGATCCCAACAGACCATTAGTAAAACTGGGTCAAACTCTAGAATTAATGTTACAGAGGTTGTAAACCTAGAATAAACTTTGGCGGGCTTCTAAACTTATCTACACACCTTTTCATAAGAAGCTGCCAATGGTATGATAAGTGGTTGTGACTAGAGAAGGGGCTGTAAGGCAAAACCCAAGCACTAGAGCCAGTGCTGGAAGGCAGCTGGTATTAAGAGGGCTTGTTACACGACTCGGGGCAGTCAGAGGGCCAATAACTAAAATCAACCAGTTAAAATGTTCTATTGCCAGTCAACATTCCCTCAGTATTGAGCCGGGCACTGTCCCGAATGGTCTCAAATAATACCGCACTTGTGTCCCTTTGAACTTCAGTGGTATAATAAATCTCTTTTTAACCAATCTTGCTCAGGACCGTACTGGAAGAATATCAGCCCTCTGTCTTTTTTGTACAGACCTTGCTGCGCTTGGTCCGCACTGTCAAGACCTTAGGTCGATATTTTCCCAGTATGGCCCTTGCGCTTGGTTAATAAGATAAATGTACTATAGATGGTAGACTGCCAATAACTGGCTTTTATTCAAACCCCTGCCTTTGTTACCTGATTCATGCTATTAAGAGCTGAAAAGTCCTTGTTGGATGAAGCACTTTTTATTTTGTAATGTGATACTACTTGGATTTTATTGTTTTACAGAGTGATGATGAAGAAGAAGAGATGCCAGCGGAAGCCAAGATGAGAATGAGAAATATAGGGAGGTACAGAATCAGAGTCACATCTTGTGAAACTGAGGGTAGACTTGTTACTTGAGTTTAAATTTTTCTTGGGCTTTTGTCCACAAATAAGTCCCTTCTAGTGACTTAGTTATCTTAATTTTCAAGAGCACCATCAGCTTTAGACTTTCATCCATTTTTTTGTTGGTTTTGTTCATTTTAAACTTAGTTCAAAGTAAAAGCGGGATTGCCTCCAGGGTACAGTGTGCTACCAATTCTGTTAAGAACTGTTTACTCTCGGGATTCAAATCTGTCCACACACGTCTCTTCCATTGTGACTCAACTATCACATTTTTCAAAAAGATCAAAACTTGAGGAAAACATCCAAGACACTGATCTACTTGGGTAGGCTGGCTGATCTTACCAATCATTAGGAAAAACGAAAAAACGAAAAAACAAAGGGAATCGCATCTGGTGCTGTGAACAGTTGTCATCTTGTTATGTGACAATAAGGGCCAAATTATGCAAATAAAAACAAGCAAGAAATTTCTTCATTTGTACAGGCATGTTCCCTGCTTACAGGTGCTCAACAGATTTTACCTCTGTAAGTGAAAGGTGGAGTGACTGGTTATGTGACTGATGTTTTGCCTTTCATCCCAGTTGAAAGACAACCCTGATGTTACTAACTTAACTTATAATGCAGCACAACCCTAACTTTGCAGCAAACTTTATTTATGTTTGAAATACATTAAGGTAATCCAATGCATAGGTCAAGTGCACTTGTAGCTCTCAAATACAGAGTAATCATGGTAAAATGGGTCCTCAGCATACTCTGTAGATGTCCATTTATTGCATCACACAACTTACCTCTGTTTGGAGGCTTGTGTGACTGGCTCACCTAATTCTGTTCAAGGAGGTAAGATAATACTTAGCCTTATTTCCCACTGTGGGAGATGGGGTGTTCTAATCATCAATGTGCTGAGCTCTGGGTTGAGAGATTCAGGTTCAAAACCTGGTTAAGTCATAATTTTGTGTTCTTGGATAAAACATGTTACCTTCACAGTGACTCTCTCCACCTGGGTGCCAGAAAATTGTCAAGACAGCCAGATGAAATGCTGGAAGGTTACTGTACAATGGACTGGCATTCCATCCAGGGGGGGGGGGGGGAGTACTGTAATACTTCTGGCTGCTGTGTTATGGAGACAGAATAAGCTCTCACGTACAGACATTATCCTTATTTTCCAGCTGAAAGGTTGTTGTTCTCTCCAAAAATATAGAGATTGCACCTGGAAATAATATCAATTAATTTTTTCTCTGTATTTTTCAGAAACACTCCCACATCAGCAGGGCCTAATTCTTATAACAAAGGAAATAAAGGATTTACAGATCATCGGAAAGCAGGCGAAAAGAGTTTTAAACTAGAACACCCATCAAGGTCAAGGGATGCAAAAGAGTGAAAGGCAATGATATACTACTTTGAACTTCTTTCCATACAACTTGCATTGGCCAATAGGAGGTTTGCCTTTGTATTTCTTTCTTGTGACAGTTTACTTTCACTAGTGAACCACCTTCAGTTGCTGGTGCAAGGTTGGGTTCATCCAATTGTTCATTTTTTTTTTTTTAAGCAGAAAACATGGGCATGTAGAATAACTTTCGTCGTTAGAGCTGAGGGATAATGCTTTGACTGTATCACGTCTTAAAATGAGACAAGACTTAACACTCAACTATGTTTGTTGGAAAGAAAAACACAACAACAGAAACAGTTTGTAATTAAAAAGTTGAAAAAGAAACGTTTTATAGACGTTGGTGATATGCTTACTCATCTTAAAGTACTACTCCCCCCTCCCGAAAAAATTGTTGTTGACAGATTGGTTATTATTTGCCATTATAAATCGTCATTCGATCAACTAACAAATCAGAAACTTTCCCCTTCAGAAGTCGTGTAATTAACCATGCCTTAACGTTGAAGATAGGGTCTCAGGCCACTGTTATTTCAAGGGAAAATATGAAAAATATGTTGGTTTCCCAAAAATCCGTAATAATGGACGCTTTTGTTTATCTTAAAAGAGAGGAAAACTGCTCTAAAAAGTGTGTGAAATTTCAAGCGGACAGCAGGTACTACATTTGAGTGCCGTTTGTTATTTTAGCTTTTCTGCATCTGAAGGGATAGACCAGCATAAGAATTATTTTCCAGCTGATTGCTTTGCGCAAGTCAAAAGTTATTGGCTCAAAAACTTGTTCGTCGCAAAGCGAACTCTATCTACGTGCTAGATGAGCGCAGGCCGAGTTTCTGAAAACTTCGGATCGCGCTTCACACTTGCATAAACTTCTTCTCTCTTGGTGCGTTTTCAACGCGAGCGACAATCGCTTTCGCAGTGACGATGTATTTTCGATGGTACTTCGACTCGCGTAACAGCCTAAGGCGGAAAGAAGGCCCATCCATCAACTCAGTCCTCACGGGGTGTTTGGACTTTCCCTTTTTTCCACTTCGTTAACACTTACATTTTCTTCCCAGAGAACACTGACTTATACGAAATACGTTTATTGTAAGTTTAAAATTCCTGTGCTATTTACATCGCCACCTATTTACAACAAGCTTTCGCGATTTGAACCATTTTTCAGATTGTTCATTCGAGCACTCGGTACCCGAACTTTACTGTCCTGAGAGGTTTTCTTCTGAAGACCTAAGAACTGAGTTAACGCTTTCCTTAATTCTTTGTTCAGAGCAGTATACAGCAGCGGATTGATTGCCGACTTAGAGAACATGACACAAAGGAAAAAGCGAAAATAAAATGGCGAAATGTTCGCAGCCGAGAATTTGTGTACAGTTTGAACAACGAAAAACGGTAGCCAGCATAAGATGAAAATTCCGCCGACTAAAGCAAGCAGCGCTGCCGCACGAAATTCCCTTCTACGCGTGTGCGACGCTCGTAACTCGCCGTTGAGTTGATTGCCTTCTCTCATTTTGAAAATTTGGCGACGCGCCTCCAGAAAAATCTTGGTGTAGCTTGTACCCATGACGACGGTTGGGATAATGACCACAAATGTCCACAAGGCCGATAGATAAAGCACTTCAGAAAGATAGTTGTCACTGGAGACTGCCCCGCTTTTGCAAATGGTGTTAGCTGTGCGCCAGAATATTGGCGGAAGAGAGATCACAATGCTTCCCGCCCACAGGCCGGCAATGACGTAACGCGCATGCGCAGCGGTCATGACCATGGGGTAGTGAAGGGGTTTGACGATGATGAAATACTGATTTAATGCGACTGCGCACAAGTTGAAGACCGTGGCGGCACCAAAAAGGACGCCAAATGGAGTGGTGATGTAACAGAAAGACGGATGAGGATACCAGCGGACGTGTAGCGTGGATAGCAAGGTTGTTGGCATCTTGAGTGCAGCGTGAAGAAGATCAGAGATGGAAAGACTCACCAGGAAACTGTAGAGGACCGTGTGAAGATTTCTTCGCTTGTAAATCACAAGACAAACCAAGGAGTTAGCGACCACACCAACAAATATCACCAGGGCAAGGAAGACCGACTGAGTAATGATCCCTGATGAGATGTTCTGCTCATTTGGGTTCCAATCTGACGAATTCGGCTGTGTTGTTGAATAGTTCAAAGTGAATGAAGAATTGAGTCTCCTCATTCCTGAAAAGAGAAACGTAGGTGTCAGTTTGGCTATAAGATACCCAACCAATTTCTTTCGAAAGCAGAGACTTCACATGAGCAAAATCGGATCCAGTTGATGAAGAAAAACGTGCGAGTGAATCCGAAAAGCTGATTCCGACGATAGAGTATAACAACTAAGGAAACCTTCAAAAATAAAAACAGGTTATTGCTCTCGGCACCTATTTTTAACCCGCTTACCAATGCCTTCTTCTTTTCTCAGCCTTTGTGCTCGGTTGCAGAGTTATTTTTCATAACTCCTATTGTGAACTAATACTTAAAAAAAAACCTCATGGGACAAACTGTACGAATTATATTATTTTGAGCAGGTTCTTAACACCTTCCTGTCTGTTGTGGTAACCTCGCACAAAAGCGTAATCCTAATTAAAACTAAGCAGACGGCGAAATGTGCTGAAGCAGCTCAGCTATCGCCGAAAAGGTTAATCGTATATAAAAAAATTCAAACTTTTATGCAGTTATAAAAAATGTACGACACAATTTTTTCGCTCGAACGACTTGCGTGACCTTTAAGTGCTATGGTTAAGTCGAGGACTCTGCACTTGTAGCTAGATTTGCGACCTTTCGTTTTCTGTTGGTGTTTGTGGAACGGAATCGCAAGCGAATTTCGTCCAATCGATGTGAAAGTTTAGAACTATGAACTACGCGCAGAAAAAAAAAAGCCTCATCAAGCAGTAAGCCTCATTTAACAATTTCTTTCTTTGTCAGGACCTAAGTGACACTAAGAAGTCAAACCAAGGCTTTTCTCAGCTCTACCGTCAAGTTTTGAAACCTGGAGAAAGATATTTAGCACGAGGTACGCCTGCTGTCTTAACAGTTTTTGTCTTAGCCTAAAAGAAACTCACCCTCTCTTAAGATGTCCGAGAAACGTTTAAAATTCCTTTTCCAGATATGAAAGCGTCGATTAGTGCAACAAGATAAAAACCATTTGTTTGCTGGTCTTAAGACAGACTGATTAACAAATCGGCCGCAAATCTCTCGGGATTTCATTTACAAGTTACTCATTTTTCCTACAAACACTCTCCTTTTCATTTTGAAACGTAACGGCATACACATGAAAATTAGATGTCTAAAATGTGATCAGAAAATTAAAACAAGTTTCAAGAGAGGTTACTTTATTAAAAAAAAAAAAAGATGAAAAAGGGAACCAATTCCATAAAAGAAAATTAATAAAGATGGTCTTTTTGTCTTCTTTCGTCAAAATAGAATACGTCATAATAATCTAAAACAAAGAAAGGATTTAAAAACTTAACTCGGGCGGCCGTCATTCGAGGATCACAAATCCGTACACATTTACAGGTGCCAAAATTTAAACAAAACCCCTAAAACCTTACGTCTCTGAAAATTATTTAAAAGAGGAAAGAGATTAACTTAACAGGGAAGAAGTCTTAGAAGAAAAGCAGAATATGTGACACTGATTTTACATACAAGCTGTGAAATTAAAAACAAACATCAATAATGATAATCATGGCTTAGTCAGGTTAGTGTTAACTGAATAATCACAAATTAAATTTCAGTTTCTGTAGCCAGTAACTACCGAGAATATGAAACGATAGTCGACATTAGAACCCCCTCCCCCGGAATTTGAGATGTATTGCGCATATCTTCACTGCGCACCTAGTGTCCGAGGAAAGCCGAAGAGGCACTGAAAGAGTAATGTAATTGCCTTGCACAACAGTGCCGCATAATTACCCATAACTCGCTACGAAACCTATAGAATTTTACTGACAGTTCCTTTCACAATCAGCCACTGACTTTCTAAATAATTGTCTCGGTCAGCGGTGATGTTTATTTGGTCTTACCTAACTGGTGTAATGGCAAGAAAAAGAAACTGGGTATCAAAAACTAACGGTTGAAACTAAAGCTGAATCAAGCTCTCCACTAACATTTCAGCAAAAGGCGAGAATTTGATTTCATTGGATAGTTGTTGATTATTAAGAGAAAGCATTAAACCGGGGACGGCAATGAAAGCGCAATCTGCAAAAACCAACACGTAGTGATAACGAGATAATTCGTTCATTCGCTCCGACGAAGGGCTAACGCTCGAAACGTCAGCTTTTGAAATCGTTACGGTGGCGAATTTACCATTTCAACTTTGTTGATATATCCAAACTATTTCGAGATAACGTAAGACTAGGTTATCACGCTAATGATACCCTAGAATGTTTTTGTTTCCCGCTGGACAATCATCCACGTTTCATCAACCCAGCTTAATGGATCCTTCACGGCGAAAAACAAAAAACTCACCTGCAGAGGCAAAGTGTAAAGCAGAATGCATATTTTTTTGTTTGGCGTGCTTAGCTCTACAACTGACCGGAAGAGGAATGAAACGATCGGCGCGCCTACTCATTCGAATATTGCTAGGAGAGCTAAAATTAACCCGCAAATTATTTTATTTCTTCTTTTTTTCTCACTCGTAATGTTACATGTTTTGTTTAATCACGCAGTGAGAGATGCAAATTTTCATTTGCAAGAAAAACAGTGCCGCGTTGAAGAAGACAGGTGTTAAGCGCGAGAGGAGAATGAAAGAAGGAATCACCGGTTCCGAGTCGCTAATGACGAGAGCGTTTCTGAAAAATCGCAGTAAATCAATATGGCCGAGGTGCATGGTTCATTATCACGCCAGAAAGTTCCAACCATGAATTATCTCCAATTTAAAGTTATTTTGACGATCGTGAACCTTGCGTGTATCGGTTAATCGAATTGGACTAGCGATCGACGTGTCTTAGATACAATCTCGACCTTCTTCTAAGTTTTTTCCTCTGCAACAATTTTGTTGGAACGATTCTGAATCAAACGCTCTTATTTCGCTGAGAGGAAAGGTGCGCATTCATATTCTTTAGATCCGGCTTCACAATTCATCTTTGTATTCAATAATAATAATTTTGTAAAGTAGCGATAATAATGACTTGAAGTTGACGTCCAGAAAAGGCGGCTACTAGTCCAACTATTGATATTTATCTAACCGCCGTGGCTTTGATCTCGAAATTTGTAATTAGAAGCTGGTTAACGCCAAAACTTAAAATTTATCTTCTTGAGAAGTACTTAAGGTAACGAATTAGTTTTTTGATTTTCCCAAACTGTATTCTGGAAAATGGGACTTTGAAATGCGTGATTTAATAAACTGGTTCATAATTCCTGTCTGTCATTGTCATGATAAACGATGTGTATCTTTGAGAACTATGTCCTCGAAAACGCAAGCGAATCTCAGCGACGCCAACATTGTAGGCAAGCCAGCACAAGACGTAGTTAAAGCAAACATAAAGTATTTTATTGTCATAATTGCTTTCTGGAACCCACTGTTCGTGTGTTTACCTATCTTCGAATACGGTTACTGGTTTTCAGATTTCTTTTGTTGCCATCTGTACACTGATTACACCACAGCATTTAACTTTCTAAATGCCGTATATTTACGGGCTAAATTCTCTTTAATTTACAGTGATTCCGCGTTGGTTTGTACTGTTCAAAATATTCCGCCCCTGAAAAAAGATACGGCAATTACGTGTGCAAACTGCGTAAATCGTCCGTGAAATGGGCCATGTCGTGTTGTTCAAGTACAAAACATGACATATATACATTTGCGGTTTGAGCGATTGACTACCGGAACATTGATTTTAGCCTTTGACTAATCAAAATTTTATCGGAAGGACAATGGAAAAATATAAATTTAAGAATATGAAGTAAAAAAATTGGCGCCGGATTTCTTGAGCAGATCTGTATCAAAACGGCGCAGCTGAAAATGTGTTCTGCACAGGCGGGACACAGCTTTGAGTAAAAACTGATTTGAATTGTGATTTTGAATTACAGTGCGTAGCTTTTGATGGCTCGATAAACACGAACGTCTGTCTGAAGATTTGCGAGATTGCAGTTTAGTACAAAGACGAAACATGAACCGATTGAAAAGTAAACTGAATATTTATCAACTCAACTCATTCCACAACGTGACCAATTTTGGAGAATTCAGGATTTAGAAATTCAATAGCATAATACAAAATTGAAGAAATATTTTTCGAATTTCCGCGCCGAAGAAGAAGTTGATACGGCGTTGGAAATTTTTCCAATTTACTGTGAAGGTTAAAAGCGCCGTTCAAAACTTAGTCAGCTAAGCAAAATGATTACATAATTAAAAAGAATAACTTACAGTAACATTTTTAACAACGGGGAAAAAACCGAGAAAATTTTTGATCATTTCTGTGCTTACCTGTTTTGAATGTGATCACCTCTATAACAAAGTGAAAGTAGGTAAGACTGCGTCAATTCTAAGGTTTATACCTTTCGCTAGATACGATTTCGAACCCTGCAATGCCTCACTGAATAACATTGCAATCGTCAAAGACTTTTTAGCTGGCTTTGACGTTGGACGGAAAAACAGTCAGAAAAGCCTCTCGGGAAGTTAAAGGCATGGGAAAAATAAAAGTTTTTAAATTCACCAGGAGAATAGCGCGACAGCTGGTGTCCAAGTCAAGCGTATCAAACTCGGTCGCTTACGTAGCAGCAAAGACCCATTGAAAAACAAATGAGACTTTGCAATACTTTTCAATGGATCCTCGAACCTCTTTCCGTCTTTGCTTTAATGGCCCGCAATAATTTCTTGATGGTACGATGAAATGTTTTTCTGTCACCAAGCAAAGGTGTCTTCATTTGACGCACTCGATCTGAAGCCTGACTGAATATCTCGCGCACGAAATAAACTTACCTTGGGAAAGTAGCTCGTTTCCAAGCTAAGAAACTGATCATGGCCATAAAAACTCAGAACCAGCCGTCGCAAAAAATATCCTTTCGTAAGCTGAAGCTTGTATCGACCGCAGTCGCGTGGCTGTATAGCACAGCTTTTTACACTTCTACTGAAAAACATACTTTATAGCTTTAACTAATTACAGTTAGGGCGACTTCGAAATTGCATATAAGACTTTTGAGGACGCCTTTTAAGCCGCGAAAAATTACTTCAGCCGGCCTATTTGCAGCAAAGTCCAAGGAAGCTTTTAACCTTTTCGAGCACAAGAATAGACCCTCCTCGCTTCAATTGTGATTTCTCACCTGGAATTTTAAGTCTTTTGAATAGTTCATCTTCTGATCAACGAGTTACGATAGATGTTCTGCTCCGACGAGAGTTTTATGGCGGTGCTACTCTGTGCTAGTACCCAATACTTCAAATACAAATAAACCCTAACAATCCGCGCCATAAATCAGCCATGATTACTGAATTTTGAGATGAAGTTTTTCAGTCGAGACGCACAGGCATACTCCGAAGGAAATGACACATTGAGTTAACCGCCTCCCGGTTAGCTCAATGGATAGAGCGCTGGACTGTTGTGCGGGAGGTCGAGGGTTCGAGCCCCGGCCGGACCAACACTCGGGTCTTAAAATGATTGAGAAGAATTTGCTACCTTGCTATAACATCAAGAAATGGTTAGATATTCTAGTCTTGGATAGGGACGAATAAATGGAGGTCCCAGCTCCTGCAGGGTTAGGGGTAGGAGACATTAATTTCCCACACACGAGATTACTGTGTGATGGATGTCCTCCCCTGGGGTGGGATGGGTGGGATATTGAGCGCACTTAATTTGGAGCCTCGCTCTGTTGTGCGACCCTCACCACGCTCTGGTGAAAGTTATTAAATATATACTGTTGATTACCCTGCCTATGGAAACCAACTCTCATATGTACAAGGAACAAAGTCATGGATGATAGTGCTGCCGGACACTTGATTGGTTGAAAGCTAACATATTATTCAGCGATCTCATTAAGCAAAGTCGGATGTAGTGAGTGCTTTCTTTGCAATTTCGCTTTTTTGCGTTATTCGTTAGACATTTTAATATTAAGAAGTTATCATTAGTCATCGTTGCAAGCTTTCTGCTTGAGAGGGGTACAGTTCCGCAGTTCAAATATGTGATCCTTCATCTATCCACTTGTTTTTTCACCATCTACGGGTATATTACGAACTCACGACGTGACCAGCCCCAGTTGGCTTGATAGCTTAGTTAGTAGAGTACTGCAGCGGTATCGCAGAGGCCATGGGTTCTGATCCCGTTCAGGCCTGAATTTTTTTTCAGGCTGTAATTTCATAACTACTTAATAAGTGGTGTGTATAACTGCAATAATCAATCGTGTTCATGGAAGCAGTGTCAGTTTGTAGAGCTCCTTTAATTTATTCTGCTCGATATAGTAAGCTGGTTTGCAGTTGCAGCTTTTCAACTCTACCAAGGGGTAGGAAGAGGTACCTTGTCAAACCATTAGAGTGTAGAAGTCACAAAATGCTTTCTAACTTTCCCTTACCAATGCCCAAATCTGCAAATACTAAATAGAACATCAATTAAGGCCGACCGAAAGACAAAAGATGCAATGTGCACTTCGAAGGTCAAGCGACAAAACCTGAGTAAAGACGGGCCAGAAACTTTCGACTGTTCGGTGATCTTCATTACTTTTCGAAGCTATGAATTCGCAATCCATTGATTAGCGAACCATTGTATCACCGGCTCCCCATTGCCACTGGCTAATTGCTCCGTCGCATGTCTATAACAACAGATATTTTAATAATAAAAGAATAATGATAGAAAAAAAGTTTCATCGAAGTATCTCAAACCTTACGGCAAATCCCTCTACTAATTGGTAACTCCCCGTGAAATCATTAAAACTTTGAAAAACTCTAACTGACCTAAAATGCAACATATAATAAGAATTTGACCCATCTGATACTTAAATACAATCCTCTGACATGACTTTTACTACATACTTGTAAAACGTGTCGAATGATAAGTTTTAAATGTTAATATATACCATGAATACTGCCTGCCTTATGATGGGCGCTTTCAGTTTTCGGCATTTGTAAGGGAAAGTTAGAAAACCGACTAATGATAACTTCTGTTTAGAAGAATCCATCAGTACAAGGTTTATATTCAAAGGTATATAATTCAAGGTATATATAATAAACGCGAAAAGGTGTCCAGTAACTGACGATCTCTCAATTCTAACTGTAGACGGCTGGTCTTAATGGTAACTGCTTTGATAGCTCCCAATGTGTGGTTAATAATTATTTAAGGTAGAGTATTAATTTGTAATAGCTCGGAGCTTTTTACAATTGAACTATTAAACTAATTGGAATGGTTCTTCTGTAATGGTTCCGGTTGGAAAAGCGTGGCGGCCCAATGGTCATGGCGCCCTAGACATCCTACAGGTGTGTAAATGTGTGGAGGCGAATTTAAAACAGGGAGAAACCATGTGATGGATTAGCATCCCATCCAGGGGGAAGGGAGAGTAGAAATATTTCGTCGCTTAGGCTGTATGGGCTACTGGCCTGACGCAGACTTTTTTAAATTCTAATACGTGTATCTCCATGAACAGTGCCGGTAAGTGTTTTTGGGGGGGATCCTCAGAGAAAAATTTCGTATTAAATTATTTATATTAAGTTGTGAATTTACCATTAATTTTTAATCATCAATATTCTTATTTATTTATTAATTTACTTTTATCTTTTTAAAATTTATTATTTTTCGGTCACTCCGGGAATTCCTTGAATTCCGATTATTCCGGGTATTCCAAGTATTCCGGTTCCAGTTCCGAATTCTGGCATTCCTTCTTTTCCAAACTACCGAAAAATTGTGACAAAATTAAAAAAAAAAAAAAAAAAGCGCGATATTGCTCAGCTCGCGTTCTCTATTTGCCTTGGGTGGACGTGGATTTTACAACCATTACTGGCAATCCGTCTTATGACGTATAGGCAGCGCGCGATTGCTCTTGGGATACAATCTGTCGCAGTTCCCTGCTTTTTCGTTGGAAGCGTCAAATGTTCCCAATATCTATATCCTCCCAGGAAGGCAACGATTGAAACCCAGGTGAGGGCGGTGAGCGCTTTGCAGAATTATTCGTTGCTGAATTCACTGCTGATTTAAATGAATGAAAAGTAGAAGTTTCACTTTCAATAGGTAGTTATCAGCAATGCTACAGCGGGTCGCATTCTTGTTGAGTTTTTCCTTGGAGGTTTTCTTTTTTTAAAGCCGAGCTCCAGTCTTCTGAAAACACGTGAATAAACACGTATCTGGTCTACTTCAGTTGTCCTCGCTGGCACTTTTCTACCCCAGTGCGACCTTACTCAGTTTGACGCGAGTTTTGCTTTCCGGTTGCGGTTTTAAATTTTCTGTTTTTTTTTTTTTTTGACGGCACCCGCAAAGGTAGAAAGTAATCTAGAGAAATACTACTATTACCAGTACTATTTGCAGGGACCGCGCAGGGGGTGGGGCAAGGGAGGCCTTAGCCCCCCCACTTTTTTGGCTGATTTAATCAATATTTTTTTTTACTTAGAAGTTAGTCTATTCATTTAAATTTGGTCAAACGTGAAGGCCAGTTTGTTAGTCTTTTTTTACAAGAATGAAAAATTAACTTCACTTCTGGCCGTTTTAGACCCATTTCTAGCCATTCAGAAGACTTTAATTTGAAACATTTCCCGGCGGAGCAATGCCCCGGACCCCCCTAGTTGGCTCACGCTAACGCGTTCGCATTAGCCCCCCCACTTGAAAATCCGCTCTGCGGGCCCTCATTTGACCTTCAGAGCTACTACTAGAGCTTGTCAGATCTGTACGGCTGTAATTGGTTAGATTCTAGAAGCCTCCAAATAGATAAAACTTCATTGCGTTGAATCTTTTTCAGTCAATCAGTGAGAAACCAGTTTGCCGATCATCGAAATCGAAGCTCGAAATGTTTGTTAGACCGAATGTGACGTTATCTACATTTCATAAGAACTATGTAAGGTAACCGAAAAAACATACCTTCCATTTTAGTGTCGGGTTAGAAAGAGATGGAAAACTTTAGATAGTGAGCTTTGGATCTAGTACATCTCCTTGAGAACTCTGGAAGTTATTGAGCGTCTGACTCACGTGAAGCTTCGTGACGTAATTTGGCATCAAGCAGGGCACAATTGGCTGTAAGATGCTGGGACTGGTTGAACCGCCCTAGCTCTGTTTTGGAGGTGTCAGCCAGACTATTAGCTATTACTTGGCGCAAAACGACGTATCCTATTGATAAGAGAGAGATTCCGGCTAGCGGAAAATTTACGAAGTACTCGACGTGCTCGCTGCTCGCCATCTGTATTTTTCTCTAAAGTGCTCGCTATCTGTGTTTCCTAAAGGGCTCGCTGCTCGCAAGAAAGATTTGACAACTGCTCGTGCTCGCAAAAATAAACACATTGCTCGCATGCTTGCAAATGCTCGCAAAGACCATTCGATACCCCTAATGAATGTAGCTGAAAAAAGAAATTTCAGTTTTTGCTCTTGTAATGCGCTGAAATACAGCTTACTTCAACAAAGCATTTTGTAGCAAAAACTGAAATTTTAATGAAGGATGTGAAATCATTTTATTTGAGTCAATGTCACCACCGCGCGAAGGAAAAATTATTTGGAAATCTACTCATTGTTCCTGATAACTTCCTTGTGTGAAGTTAAAGGAAGTACTTCTCTCGTGCGCTACACTACAGCTCACTTCAACGGAATACTGTGAAACGATAACTGAAACATTATCCAAGAGACATAAAGTGTGAAATCATTTCATTTGCGTCACGATAAAAACTTAAGGAAAAAAAAATAACACTCCCCAATCGAAATATTCTTTTTGTTTCTGCTAATTTCCATGATTGAGTCTTACCTTGCTTGACATGTTGATCACTGTTTATATTTTGTGTGTATTGTCGTAGGATCGTTGCTGGTGATTTCCTTGATTTCAGCATTGTTTTAGAAGTTGTTGCTTTTTATTTCCATGCGCAAATTCCACACAAGGCTGATTAAGCCCCCTTATTCAATTTGTGAGTAAAAGTCAATGGAGTTATCATGGTCTTTCAACGATGAGGAAATGTTTGTTTTGTATTAACCTCTCACCGAATGTAATAGGCTCTTAAAGTAATAAATTTCTTCTAAGACGAGAGAAAATGTTTTGGCTATACCAAACAGACAGTTTCGCCATTTTCTGCCCGTAAAGAAGCCTTCCAATCCGCTAAATTGAGATCCTGGATATGGCCGTACCCGAAATATCCCTCGAAAAAACGATATTACTTCCGTATGCAACCTAAACCCAAATGTTCATCATAATGAGTGTATTCTTCAGTTTGCGTTAACAACTTTTCAGCGACTGAAATCTCCAAATGGGAAGACAAAATATACTTAGATGCTAAATATTCCTTAGTTAACAATCCTTTGTGAGTGGTTTTGACTAAGTTTCCTTAAGATACCACCAAGGGTCTTATGATTTCGTCACTCAAATGAGGTTTCTTATCTCTTTCACACCAGTTTTATTAGCCAATCGGGTCTTCGGTACGCGTTTAACAAAAAGGAGAACTGTTGGAGGTTGAAAATAACATCCTGTACAAATGAATACAATGCCATCATATGCCGCACACAGCATTTAAAGTAGAATTTGCATAATATTATATTGCCATTCTGAAGAAAAGACTTTTCGAGGAAATTACTACCGGTCAGGGGACAAACACTAAACGGAAGGATAGATATCATCAAGATAACATGTTTAAAAAATTGTAATTTTCAATGTGCTGGGTGCACGAAAATTATCGGCCATCCAATTGAACTGAGAGATGGAAGTTCTTTGTAAGTTGAGTTATTTCCTTCAAAATGCGGCTTAACGTTAATAATGGAAGAAAAAAAATAAAGACCTTATGACAGAATTTATTATTACAATAATTTTCTTGAGACCAACAGCCACGTTCTTGATTTAGCCCTTAAAACCGGTAGAGCTTTTCCGAACAGGAAAGCTGATTTAAACTGAAATAATTATAACCATGACTACCAACGGCCTGACTTTTACAAATTGCAAATAGGCATTGCAAAATATTGAGTTGAGAGTCGCAAGAGCATAAATTGTTTCCCGTGAATCGCTTCGATTGAGTGGTTTTTTTTTTAATGATACATTGAATTCGATTTCTTCCATAGCTTTATCTCAAAACTACCGATCTAACTGAAATAATGTTGTTCCTTTATTAGGCTCGCTATTTGCTCTCAACAATTGAGCCTGTTTTCTCAACCGGTTCTTGGAACGATTGGCGAAGGAGGTAGCACCAAACAAAAAAAAAAAATATTATTAAATGCTAGCAACTGCGACGAAGGGAATCGTTTATCAAAGAAGCGCTGGAACAGAGAATGAAGGAAGTACATAAGTTTGATCTGGTGCCATTTTTGCCGCACAAACGCAGTTCAAAACTTCCAACCGCTAGCTTAGCGAGTTTGGCTGAGCTTATTTCATTAGAAGATACAAAAAGCTTATTCTCACCTTTCTTAATTGTACACGAATCGGTTCCATAAGCAGTCTTCCATTCATTTATCCACAGAAAACATGATCATTACGTGCATTCCTTACACTATTCGAAGTTTTCTGGTGCTTTTCTTCACGTGCGAGAGTACACACTGTTTAAGTTGTTTGTGAACAGCTTGAAACCTTAACCGCAAAGAACCATTAATGAAAATGTGAGTGACATCCTCAAAATGTTGTGATGAAAACCCATCAGGGAATATGGAAGTTTTTTTCACTGGCCAATAAAACTGTGGAAAATCGCTCGAGTGCAAGGAAAGATGTCTTCCGCTTTTTCAAAAGCCTATCCTAGGTATATCTTAGAGGGTCGTGCAGGGGTTACGTACAAGCACGATTCACGCCGACAAGGGAAAACCATCACGGATCACGAATATTTCTTTTTCCCCAACCACGAAAATAAGCATGTAATTTACCCATATCTCGTGGTGTTAAGCAAAGAAAGATGACTAAGACCATTTTGTTGGATAGGAAAATTGACAGGACCCCGTTAATGTTGCAAAGATTAGCCGAAAAATTCCGAGTAATACGAACAGGAATTGTGCCACCCATTGGTAAGTAATCAGGAGAGTATCTGGAAGTTTATATCCTCTTGTCATCGGCTACCTTTGTCGGAAAACTAGAGAATTCCCCCTTTTAAGCATCCCTGGTTTGATCGACAATGATAAGTATAATGTGTAGAAATACTTTCAGAAGGGATCTGGCGCTATTTTTGATTTCCATGTTTTCTCTCTTTATGAGAATCCTTAGACGTACCCTTATAGACTCAAACCTCAGAGAAAAATCTAAACGACTTTGAAATAGAGGCAATAATGAACTACATAATAGCGACATTAATTTATAAATAGCTGAACCCGCAAAAAACTCAAGAAGCAAAACGATTTATATGAAAATAACCTACTGCACAATGTTTACCCATAGTAAGTTTACCCATAGTAAGTTCTAGAAAAAAATTTTTATTCATTCTTCTGTTTATTTTGATGGCTAAACGTTGATTAGACTTGTTGATGTATAAGAATATTCAGTGAAACTTACTACACATTTTTGGAATGATGATAGAATACAAGTAATAGTAATGCATATGAACATAAAAGACCACCAAACACCTGTCTTAGGGTTAGGGTTAAAAAAAATTGTATTTTCTTGCCAATCTCTTCCATTTTTGTTTCGAAGCCGTTGCAGATGAAAACATGGGATGAGGTATTTCATGGTTGAAAATACGTGTATTAACAATTGCAGCAAGGAAGCAACCCGGTTCAGATTCAGTGAGCTTCAGTACACCTTAACTACTGAGTAATGTTCACATTTTGGGGAATGATATGGATAACATAGTAATCAGTATAAGAAACCAGCATCTTTTTGTCTTTAATAACAGCAACCGCAAACCACGGACATTTCATCCCACCAGTAAACGAGTTCATAAACTTTCTGTCTAAAGAAAATGCTTGAAGTCTGCTGTTATCAGAGTCACACACGATCAAGTTATTAAACCTGTCAGTGGCGAGTCCTGGAGGACATTTTAGCTGTCTGTCACCAGATCCCTCCCTACCAATATTATACTGAGGTTCTCCTCGTTTGTTGAATACTTTCACATAGTTATCCAAGGCATATGACACACAAAAAAACTTGTCTTCGTGATAAACAACATACCTTTCTCAGGCCCGTATACCAGTCTGATGCTTTGAAGGTTTGTACCAATCCTGTACCGTCAGAAGAGAGGACCTTGACTGACTCGTCCCCAAACTCAGCTACCAGTACTTTCCAAACACCAATATTGCAGAAGCAGTGCACTCTTAAAGTTTTGCAGTCAATTCCTTTTGACTTGCGATTAGAACATTCATGCAAGGAGAATAAAAATGTTTATGGGAAGGATCATAGTTCCTTCTAAAGAGAAAAACAGTTAAGTCCAACCTGTATCAAACACGCTTAAGCAGATGAACATTTTTTCAGCGTCACTCAATCTCGAAGGTAAATCGGATCCCCTCGATCAAAAACCAGGAAAACGCTATCAACAGCTTGTCTCCTGCAAGTGTTCTTGATGTGTCACAAAAACGGAGCTTTCCAAACCAAGATCTGACAAAATTGCTCAACAACTCGAAGGAACGCAATCAACAAACTCTCAAATAAGCGCGCAAGGAAGTTAGAAACCTGCTTCATCATCAAATAATTCTGTAAATGTCAAGCCGCGTTCAGGTTTGCGTAACTAGTTCGCCTTTTACTCCCGTCACTCCTTGCGGAGAAGTGCAGTTTAAATAAATCCTTTCTATAAATTCTTTAATCCACCTCATTCCCTTTGAGACACAAAGAAACACCAAACTGTTTTCATTTATCTAGCTTTGTTTTGTGCAACATGCTCTACCTCATCCCATGCTTTTATCTCACCGAGCTCAGCCATTAAAGTTCGGCGTAGTAGCTTTTTTGCCAACTAGGTTTAGTTAAACCAGATGGTTTTCAGTACGGAGAAATCCTAAAGATATGAACCTGATTGGTTCTCATCGATATCACGTGCAACAGCAACTGCA